TGATACAGAGTAAAATCTACCATTTGGAAGGTAAACACTTACATGCAGTAGAGAGGAAGGTTTTTTTTTTCTTCGTTTCTTTTTTTTTTTTTTAAGGATAAATCAATACCGAAATGCTCTGCGCACGCAAGACACACCCCAGAGGGATGCGCAAAGGAAGGCTCCGTTGCAAGGCGAAAGTCTGCCGTTTGTAAATGCACACTTAGATGCCCCTAGGGGAGGGGTCTCCCAAAGTTCATAAAACCAAGCCTTCCTGGCACCTCCGGAGAAGAGGGAGCAACTGTAGTCATCACTCCGCAACTACTCTAACGCAGTGGGTCAGAGGACAGCGGTGGGGAAAACGCCGCGGCGGTCACAGAAACTGGTACTTAAGTGGACTATGCCCTATCACACCCCCTGTTATAGTTTGAATAGTGTCCCCCGCAAAAGATGTTCAAGTCCAAACCTGCAGGACCTATGAATGTGACCTTATTTGGAAATAGGGTCTTCACAGATGTTTGAGTTAAGAGGAAGTTACTGGGGCTGGGCCCTAACCCCGTATGACTGGTGTCCCTATGAAACAGGGAAGTTTGGGCACAGAGACTGATGCAGACAGAGGGAAGGTGATGTGCACTGGAAGGCCAGCCACAGCCCGCAAGCCACCAGAAGTTAGGACAGAAAGGCGGGGAACTTAGTCTCAGCCTCAGAGGGAACCAGCCTGGTGACGCGGTGACCTTGGACTTCTAGCCTCTGGAGCTGGGGGACAATACTTTTCTGTGCTGAAGCTGCCCAGTGTGTGGTACTTTGTTACAGAAGCCTCAGGAAACTAATACAGCTGGAGAGTTCAAACAGAAGGAGGTGCAAACAGAGAACGTGCCAACAAATGCTCTCTTTCTTATGAAGAAACTGAGGACTTAGAGGCACTTTCCACACGCCCCCGCCCCCGCCCCCCGGCCCCCATGCCTGACTCCTCTCTGGCTGAGGATGCAGAGAGGTATCCCTGACCACCTGTGAAGACATTTAGATGCCCGTCCCCCATCTTGGCCACACAGGGAATCCCCAGTGACCCATAAACATGCAGGTAAAAACCCATCTCTTCCAGACAGTGACTGAGCCTGGGGAATCAGGAAAACATCTGTTTATTCCAAAAATACCAACTTTCAGCTCAGCTGGCTGTCCTCACTGAGAAAGTAGGGGGAGAGTCTGGTGTTGGGTTAGGGGGATGAAGGACAGAGAGCTGGGGAGGGTCTTCTGGCCCAGAACTGTTTACCTCCTTGTCTCTGCACTGCCCAGCACTGCCCACTACAGAAGGGCAGGGGTGTGTGTGTGTGTGTGTGTGTGTGTGTGTGTGTGTGTTTGTTTATTTTTGTGGGGGGGAGATTCAGATGGCAAGGTCCCGGCTGCAGAAGCATCCAGGGGATCTGGCAGGACATGTCCACTTCCTCACCCCCTCAGGACCTCTCCCCACTATGGCTTATTTGAGATACGAGGTCAAGGCCCCAGGATCAGGCAGCCTGTGCTGAGTGAGTGGGGGGGGGCAGGGTATGTGTGTGTGTGTGTGTGTGTGTGTGTGTGTGTGTGTGTGTGTGTGTGTGTGTGGTGGGGGAAGGGAAGGGCAGGGAAATACCTGGAATCCAGGTCAGGAGAGAGCAAGTTGTGGGGCGGGGGGCATACAAAAGCTGAAGGGCCCGGAGTCCCCCAGTTCTAGGGGCCGGAGAAAGCTGAGTGCTCTAGGTGGGCGGTGAGCAGAGGTGCAGGGTCTGGGAGGGGCAAGGGCTCAAGCTGGCTCCTTTCGGGGAAAGTCACAGTCTGCTCACGGGGCACGGGGCATGAGGAGGCCCTAGAAGAGATTAGGGGAGCCCACAGGAGCAGCTGTAAGCACGGCATTGAGAACTGGTGTTGGGCCTAGGTAGCTGCGGGTTCCCCTCTCCACGTTTCCTCCGTGTTTGTGGGAGCCAAAGGCTGAGTAGGGATGAATTGAGGTGCCAGTATTTGGGGCGTGAGGGGACAGAAGAAGGAGGGGAAGGCCCAGAGGAGGGAAAAGAGGCCCCCCCACCTCGCCCTGGGGGCTGGGGGAAGGGGCATGTAGCCCTTTAAGAGTGGGGGAATGGCTGGCACCCCCACATGGCTATGTACAAAGAGAATTGGGTGTTGGCGAATCGCGGGAAGCCCTGGGGGCTCCCCAGTGTGTGAGGGGGAGACGAAGGAGAGAGTGCAGCTTCTCTGGGTGTTGGGGTGATGCAGAGCCTGCCTCCCCCCACAGATGGTGCCGACAATGGTGTGGCTCTCCAGCTGCGCCTGCCCCCGGACCAGGCCAGCAGAGGACATGACTGGAGGTCGCAGGGGAGTTAGCAGTTGTCGGCCCAGCCCACAGGAGTCTCTGGGGAGCTTGGCCCAAGCTCATGGAACGCTGCTTCAGGTGGAGGTCCAGGTGAGAGGGACTGGGCAAGCGGCAGCGACCTTACCCGAGGACGGGAAGCCCCCACCTCGGTGATGATGAGAGGTCCTCACGTTGACCCCGTCACCGACCAGGTAGTTGGGCGAAGGGCAACGAGTTATCGGGAGGGGCCTGGATGCCGTCACCAGAGAGGTGATGGGGGGCTGGCCAACGCCAACTCTGTGGTGGGGTAGATGCAGGCATCCGCCTAAGTCTGGAGTGAGGCAGTGACGTCATCGAGAAGGGCCGGAGTAAGGGTGTTGTCATCAGAGGGGGCCCCTACTCCATTTCTGAGGCAATGGGAAAATGGTGTGTATTGTGCTGGGTTCCCTTAAGGGAACAGCGGCGGGTGCCATGTGACCCCCAGAAGACATTGAAATACAGCTGTCATAGTGCTCGGCTCTTAAGATGATGGGTCCTGGGAGGTGATAGGTGGTTGAACTGGGCCCTGGAAAATGACGCCACCACTGGTTGCCCTGCATCCTGGGGATGATGGTAACGTCCGTGGTGGATCCAGGCAGGTGATGACACTGCGGCTGAAATGGGTCCTAGGAAGGGATGACACTGTCGGTGTCATGATGGATCCTGGGAGGTGATAAACGTCGTGGCTGAAATGGGTCCTGGGAGGCGATGGCACTGTTGGGGGTCCTGGGTCCTGGGACACCATTCTCACGGATGCTGGGGAGGGGCGACGTCGTGTCTGACGTGCGCCCTGGGCGGTGATGACAGCATGGCGAGGGCGGACCCCAGGGCATGAAGACATGTCTGAGGCCGATCCCGCAAGCTGATGACACCGCAGTGATGGGGGACTATGGGCAATGGCGGCATCACCCATGGTAGAGGGCGCTACCGTCAGCGACAGTGGGTTCTGGAAGGTAATGACGTCATTGACCATGGGGAATTCTTGGAGATGACGATGCCATCGGCTATGGTGAGTCCCAGGGGATGGCGACACCGTGGCTGGGGAGAATCAGGGAAGATGGTGACACCGTCGACTATGGGGGACCTTGGGAGAAGGTGACCTGGAAGAGGATGACACCATAGTTATGGTGCATCCTGGAAGATGATACCATAGGTCGTAGGGAATGCCGGGACATGATTTCACCATCGGGCGTGGGTGGCACCCGCCCCAGCTGCAATGCCATCATGAGTGGTAGCAGTCCTGTGGTGCTGAGGATGTCATCGGCAAAATCAACAGCAGGCATAGCCAGCCTCCCCAACCCCAACAGGAGGCCAGAACTTTGTTGACAGAGGCAATAACGTCTCTAGTTATGGCAGAGAGACATGGCACCAGCCCTTGGAACACCCAGGAGTCTCAGGACTGGAAGAGTCAGGTGGGCCAGCCTGGGAGGGCTGTCCTCCAGAAACTACACAGGAGGGGACAGCCCTGCACAGGGCCGGGACCCAAGGCCCAGCCTCCCGCTAGAGGGAGCATCTGGTGGAGATCCTGCAGGGCGCGTCCCTGGGGTCATGGGAAGGACTGACCACGCTAAGCTATGGTAGGACAAGGCAGAAATTGGTGACACCAGTGCAAAGGATGACCCTCCAGAGCGGGCAGGGTCTCTGGTGCAGACGTCACAGACGGGAGCGGGGGTGGGGGGGCCTCCTTGCAAACACCCTGTAGGCAGACCATCACCTCTGGGGGGACCTTTCTCGACAGGGCAGCCTCCCCGCCATGACACCCCTCCGGCGACGTGCCCGGACAGGGCGCTTTCTCACGGACTCTGGCCAGGCCACGCCTTCCTGCGGTGGGGCAGCAGCAGTGAGGTGTCACCTCAGAGCAGCCCGGTGGTGACATCACAGGAAGGCTCTCACCTCTGGCGATGAACCCCCGGGGAGAGGCACAGTCCCTCTGATGGTGCCCCAGGGGAAGGCACCTTCTCTGGTGATGGCGTCACAGGAAGGAGGCAGAGTCCCTGGGATGGCGCCGTGGAAAGGAGGCCTTATGTCTAGCAAGGGCGCATGCGGGGAGGTGTTCTCCCCCACACTGCGTCCCCAAAAAGATGGCTTTGTCTGCAGCGATGGCATCATAGGCAGAGGCATCTCCTCGGGAGCAAAATATTTTCCTGGCGATGATGATGTCCAAAGGGGCCTTTTGGGGCCAGGGACGATGTCGCAAGGATGGGACATGTCTCTGCAGTGACATCACAAGAAGGAATCTCTGTCACTAGGGATGGTGTCACAGGGACAAGGCATGGTCACTGCCGTGACATCACAAGAAGGGAGTCTTTGCGGTGACATCATGGGACATGGCCCCTAGCGATGACCTCAGGGGAAGGGTCAGTCCCTGGGTTGATGCTGTGGTTAGTGATAACCCGGCAGGCAGGCCTCTCCCTCCGTGATGACGTCATGGGAAGGAGGCCAGGCCTCAAACAGGGACACAGGAGGAGGGATCTCTCCGCTGTAACATTCGGGAGGAAGGCCTAGGCTCTGGTGAAAATTTCATTCAATGCAGTGTCCTCAGAGGCAGCCCCGCCCTCCGGGCCACAGGCCCATCTGGGTCCCAGGCCGCTGGAGTGTGTTGGGGGATCCAGGCTGAGACGGGGCCCGGCGAGGCCGCAGCCCCCAAGCCCGGGGCCTGGCCTCAGACAGTCACCTCGTTCTTGCTGGCGGTGCGCAGGTGCTGGGGCAGGTGATGGCCAGGGATGAACTGCAGCTGCTCCAGCGTGCCCTGGCGCTGGAAGGGCGGCCTGCGGGCCAGCGTGCCCCCGCCCCCGCCGGCGTCTGCCATCCAGGCGGGCTGCGGAGAGCCGTGCAGGCCGTGGTGGTGGTGCGCGTGCAGGCCGGGCGTCGGGGGCAGCGCGTGCAGCGGCGTGGGGGGCCCCCCGGGCCCCAGCAGCAGGTTGGAGTGGGAAGCAGCCAGGCCGGCGCGGGAGGCAGGCTCCGGGGGCAGCGCGGGGCTGCGCGGGGGTGACAGTAGGTGCTCGCGGCTCTGGCGCAGGGCCTCGGGTGAGGACAGGAGCAGGTGCTCCTGCGAGACGAGGCGCGCGCGCGGCAGCGTGAACTCGTAGCGGGCCCGGCCCCCGTCACCCAGCAGGTGCTCCTGGGACATGACCCGCCGCGGGTTGGGCGCGGGCGCCAGGCCCAGCTCCTCGGGACCGCCCCAGGCATCCATGCGGTAGCCGCCCCCGGTGCCCGGCCTCTGCAGCGTGTGCAGCGGCAGCGTCCCGCGGGGCATCTCCCCCAGGTGCCAGCGCTTCAGGTAGGCTTCGTCCAGGTCCTTCTCGGCTGGGGAGAGGGGGAAAGGCACAGAGGTTAGACCCAGCCAGCCTAGAACCTTCCTCCTCCCCGGGCTTCCCTACCTCCTACATCGGGGCTGGACCCACACCCGGCCGGGGACCCCAGGCGTCGCCCAGCCTGGCAGGGGCACAATTTAGTCCAATCAGGCTAGCCATGCGGCCCCCAGGCCCCCCGGACTCCCAGACCCCTCCTGCCATGCTGGGCAGGTGCCGGGGGTGGGGTGGGGGTCGTTTCCTTTTTTTCTTTTGCCTCGGAATATCTTTTCTTTTGGGAGTAGAGCACAACGCTTGCTTCCAAGGCAGCATTTTTGCTCTCTTTCATCTGTTTTTCAAACTTGGAGATGCGACCCATGCGTGGTGTGTGAAGTCTGTTTTGTGGGTAGTGACCGGCACTTTGAAAGATGAAACGGCAACAGAGACAAATGTAGTTGAACAATAAAAAAATAAAATAAAAATGAAACAGCACAGAAAATTCTATTTACCAGAAGGCATCTCCATGAGAAGGGAATAAGGGTGAATACTGGTTCACACATTTTTTTAGTTATGTGTTATTGAAATATTAATGGGTTGAAGTAACATAATCCCTGCAATTTGTTTAAAAATAATCCACCAAAAGATGGGATGTAGGGAGAATAGGTTACAAAACGTTGCTCACTGTTAAAGTTGGACGGTGGGAACATGGGAGTTCATGTGTCAATTTTCTCTCCTCTTGGATATGTTTGAAAGCGTTCTTTTATAAATAGAATTTTCTTTTCTTTTTTTATAAGTAGAATTTTAATAAAAAATTTATTTGAGCCAGAGGGTACTCCTGGAAGCAAGATCTCAACAGACCGAGATAAATGCTTCCAAAAATGTCCTTAGTAACAACTTCCAAAGCTTTTCTGTATTTAAAAATATGCAAATATACATAGATCTCATGGTCCATAATATCAAAAGCATTTCTTACTGTGGCTCTCAGTTTAAAATGTTTGAAGAACACGCCACTGCCAGGGGTAGGCCACTGAGCCAGAAATGTCCAATCAGAGTCACAGCGATTGGCTCAGGGGTGAATGAATATGTGATGTTATTTGGATCGAGGGGACCCAGGTCTGGGATTGTTACTGGGATCACTGGAAGAGACTCCTTTCTGTGGGTTGAATGGCAGCCTGAAAATTCTCCAGTCACTCTTTGCCACCACAAGGGGGCAATCTGCCTGAACACGAAGCCAGCCCACTGTTCAGCAAAGCTGAGGGTTGTAGAATCCTGGGGATAGCTCTTGAGCGCCTGGATCCAGCCACACCTGCAGCTCGTGATCCATAGCCTTCCCGCAGTCAAGCCACTTACTTCCCTTTGTTTTGTGTGTGCGTGCACACACACGCACACTGAAAATTGTATTTCTGTTAATTGCATGTACAAGTCCTGATACATACAGTACATCTTGGGGTGGCGCAACACCATGAATTTGCACTTAAAAAAGCACCCCAGGTAATTTTGATACAAAATACTTCAGGCAATTCTGGAACAAACTTGGAGAAGAGCCTGAGGGAGTATTTAGTGTATTTAAGTGTGGCCCAAGACAACTCCTCCTCTTCCAATGTGGCAGAGAGGCCAAAAGGTTGGACACCGCCGCCGCCCCTTTAGAGGTCTGTTGAGTCACTGTCCACGGTCCTGAACCCAGGCCCCGGCCCTGATCCCACCTCATCCATCTGCTGCTTCCCTTCCCAGGACTCACCCAGCCTCTTGAGGGAGGAGTAGCGGTTCAGTTCCGATTTCATAGCGGCCTCGTAGGATGGGGGCAGATGAGAGAGGTTGTGGAAGGACCGAGAGCAGGACAGCGTGGAGTAATGCAACGAGGGGCTGGGTGGTGGGCCAGCCCTCCAGTCTGGGACAGAGGGCACAGCTGGTATCAATCCAGCCCCTCCTCCCTCAGGCCTGGGAGTCCAGGCCCCCGGCCCCTCCGCCCTCAGACCCAGGAGTCCAGGCCCCCGGCCCCTCCTCCCTCAGACCCAGGGGTCCAGGCCCCCGGCCCCTCCTCCCTCAGACCCAGGCGTCCAGGCCCCCGGCCCCTCCTCCCTCAGACCCAGGGGTCCAGGCCATCAGCCCCTTAAGGAGTTGTGTCTGGGGTTCTACCCCCTCAAAGCTCCCACTGGCTGTCCAGGCTGCCTCTGCTCACATCTCCCATGTCAGGAGACATGCTCAGGACATGTAACGGGACAAGGGGCAACTGGCCCTTGCTCAGCACCCACTGTGTGCCATGCCCCAGGCTGGGGGGCAGATGCCTGCTTCTTCCCACCAGTGCAGGTGGGAGAGAGATGACCACTTCCGGTGTCCAAATAGGGAAACTGAGGTTTGCTTCGTTACCTGGCTAGACTGTGAGGACAGGCTCACAGGGTCTCACACCTGCTCTATCCCAGGCACCCAGCCTGAGCTCACTCAGGAGCGGGAAGGGAAGGAGCCCTGTGGTCCCCAGCCCAGTCCTGGTCCGTACCCAGTGCAGTGGTGTGGTGCTTGGGGCTGTTGATGTTGAGGTGCAGGTAGTTGTGGTGCAGGTTATCTGCGGGGAGCAGGAAGGGAGGTGGCGTCACCACTGTTGCCCGCTCCCAGCTGGCGCCGCTGTCCGGGTCTCAGGGAAGCCTCCCCACTTCCATGCCCTTGGTCCCCAGCTCTGGTCCTGCCTGCCTCCTGAATCTCGGCCCTGCCTTGGCTCTCCCACCTGGATTGTCAAGCCAGCTTTCTGGCCATTGACCATCACGTCCAAGGTCAGCCCTGTCATGGTACTCCAACACCCACACCTGTCCCTGCCCCTCTGCTGCTTGATGTGCTTCCCATGCCTTGCCATCACCCACCGGGGACAGTCCAAGCTGACGGTGGCGTTTGAGGCCTGCATGACTTGGCCCCTGGCTGATATGGGAAGTCCCACCTACCACCCTCCTCTGAGCTGCACTTCGCTCTGGCGCCTGACTGAGCCCAGCTCAGTCCTGCCACAGGACCTTTGCACATGCCATTCTCTGTCTTGAATGCCTGCCTCCCCTTCTTTGCCTGAAGAACTCCTACTCATCCCTTAAGATCCAGCTCAAATGTCTCTCTCTCGTTACCAGTACTCAAGCCCAGCTCGGGCCTGACCTGCGCAGCCTGGGTCATCATCCCAGCCTCTCCCCCTCACACAGGATAGTTTCCCCCCCCCCCCCCCCCCGGCTTCTGACTCTGCTCTAAACCCCTCCATGGCGCCGCACCGCCTTCAGGGCAGAGACAGAGCTCCTAGGCTCAACCTGGCACTCGTGTGTGCCCACCCTCTCTCTGGCCTCAGCCACCCTGCTCCAGCCCCCCAGAACCCCCCAGCCCAAGCGCCTCCCCTCACCCTCCCGGCCACTGCTCAAGCTGCATTTCCTGGAGGAGCCTTCCTCCTCCAACCAGACGAGACCCTTTCAGCCTGTTCCAGCTCCCTGACTTCTCCTGGAACTCACCATGGAATGTGAGGAAAACAACAACGGCTCACATTTACACGGTGCCTTTTCTGGGCCCATAAGGGCTCCCAGCGTTGGGCTCCCTTGTTTGTAGGCCTTTCACAACAGCCCTATCAGGGGAGTGCTGCCTGGTTCTCATCTTATGGGCGAGGACACGGGCTTGCCCCACATCACCCAGGGGCAGAGCCAAAATGCCCGCCTGGGGAGCCTGGGCCCCGACCAGTTCTAATTCGGTAGTTAGGCACGTGTGGTGTGCGTTGGCTGCTGGGTAGTCTGACATGGGGTTCGTCCCGTGCAGGGCCCGAGAATGTCTAAAACTAAGTCATCGTGGCTTCCATGGCACCCACCCTGTGGGTCCACAGGGGTGAGGGAGGGAAGGCGTTCTCACTGCGGGGGAGGCAGGGAGACTGCTGTTGGGGGCGGGGCCTGGGCAGTCAGAGGTGGGGCCACCCAGAGAGGGTGGGGCTACAGGGATGAGGGGCGTGGTCAGAGGCGCAGCCCAGGTCACACTCACCGAGATTGGAGGACTTCATGGTGTTGTAGAGGTTCTTGGGTGTTCTTGGGGTCATGCTGTCAGAAACCCCGACCCCCGGGGTCAAGGAGCTGCTTCGCGCCCGGTCCGGGCGGTTCCCTGGTCCTGCCTGATGCCTCAGAATGTCCACCAGAGCCCTAGAAATGGCAGAAGGATGGTCACTGGCCTGGCCACTGCGGGTGGGAGAGGGAGGCCCGGGCTTCTTTCCCCTCCCTATTCTCTCACCTTTGGGGTAATCTGTCACCTCTGCTGGGCGGGGCTTCTCGCCTTTGGCCACGCCTCTCGCTAATAGAATCTGAGCACTGTCAGCCCAGAGGTTCCTGGGCCCACACTTCCGGCTCGTCCGGTCCCTTCCCAGTACATTTGGATCTCACATCGCCCTCCCTGCGGCCCCACCCACCCTGCCCTGGGCGCTCGATCCTGTCTCTTCTGCAGCCTTCCCCAGGGGATAAAGGGTGCCCCATTCGCCCAGCTATACAGGCCCCAAAGCTTAGACTCGCCCTCGCCTTCTCTTTTTCTTTCCCTTGTGTTTCTCAGAAATCTTGTGGATTCGATCTCCAAACTGTATCCCAGATTGGACCACTTCTCACCACCTCTGCTGCTACCAGGTGGTACCTCTCACCTGGATTATTGCTACGGTCTCCTAACTGGTCTCCTGCTTCTGCCCTTGTCCCTTGCAGTCTTGTCTTGCCACACAGCCTAAGCTCAGGGCGCTGTGAGGGTTCCCCATCACCCTAGAGTAAATCTGGCTCTACCTGCTGCTGTCTACCTCCTTCCCACTGCTCTCCAGCTGTATCGGCTCCTTTGATGTCCTGCAAACGCTCCACCTCAGGGCCTTTGCACATACTGTTCCCTCTGTCTGAAATGCCCTTCCCACCGATATCTACTTGGTTTGCTCCTATCCTTCAATTCTGCTCAGAGAGGCCTTTCTTGGCCACTTTATATAAACCAGCGCCACCTCCCCCCCAACTCCTTACTCTGCTTTATTTTCTTCACAGCAGTTATGTGTATGTATTTACTTGCTTCCTGTCTTAGCTACTAACTTTTCTGATAATGGTAGCCAACATTTATTGAGGGCTTACCGTGTGTCAGGACTCGACATGAATCAACCCAGTTAATCTTCATGACAGTCCGAGTGGGTAGGGAACGTTTAAGAGCCCCATTGTGCAGACGAGGAAACAGAGGCACAGATAGTTTAAGCGAATTGCTCCCCCGGGTCACACAGCCCCAGGCAGCAGCCCCAGGCAGCAGCCCCGGGACGGGAAGCCGGGCTTAACCACTGGGGCAGAGGCCTTATTTTGCTCACTCCTGTCTCCCCAGCTCCTGGTCCGAAGAAAGTGCTCCAGAATTTAGGTATGTGGTGAATAAATGAGGCGTGAGCCTCCCCGACACATAATAGCCAGATATTCCCAGGCTCTAGAGGGTGGCAGCCGCCCTGGTCTCTGACCACGCCCCCATCCCTGTAGTCCCGCCCCCCGTGGTTCCACCTTCCACTGCCCAGGCCCCGCCCCCAGGCTCCATACCCTCCCGCCCGAGCACGCACACACCTGGGCACGTTGATCTCCCGGTGCGCCCTGGGCGCACGGGACGCTTTGCTGAAGGCCACTTTGGCGCCGACGCCTACGGCCAGGGCGAAGCTGATGACCCCGCACACTACGTAGGCCGTGCTGCCGCCGGGGCCCTCGCCCCCACGTACCCCAGCGCCCCCTGCCCGGCCCCCTTCCAGCCACCCGGCCTGGCCGGGCCCGGGTCCCCCGCCCGCACCCCCGACGCCCCCGGCGCCCCCAGCCAGTGGTGGCGGCGTCGTGGCCCAGCGTGGCGTGTCGTAGTTGGAGCAGGAGGCCTGCGCTAGGCGCATGTGACGGTGCTCGCAGCAGAAGCGGTAGTGGCAGGTGCCGCAGCAGAAGCGGTAGGAGCCGGTGCTGCAATTGAAGGTGGCGTCGTACTGGCCCATGACGTCGTAGTAGCCATGGCAGAGCTCCGCCGGAGGGGGTGCCCGTGCTGCCGCGCCCGTCCCGCTGGCGGGGCTGGTCCTCGTGCTATTGGCGCCCGGGCCCGCAGCGCCCCCGCCGCCGGTCAGGGCCCCCGTCAGGCGCCGCAGGTGCGCCAGCAGAGCGGGCAGCGGGCCCGGGGGCTCAGCGCTCGTGGCGTTGGACGGGCGTGCCGCGGCCTGGCCGGCGGTCGAGGCCAGGAGCAGGACGATCCCGAGGAGCAGGAGGGCCGGCATGGGTCGTGTAGGAGGTGCGACGGGGCCGCCAGGCTGAGCGGAGAACTGAGGCTGGAGCGGAGGGCGGGAGAGAGATGTGCAGAGGTGGGGAAATATGGAGACGGCTGGCCCGAAAAGATGAGGAAGAGGGGCGAGGGAAGGTAGATGGAGGGAGACAGGCAGGATGGGTGGAGCGGGGAGGCAGTCCCACCAGGCGGTCTTGGGGTGGGGCAATGGAAACGTGCCCAGACCAGGCCAGAGGAGAACAGAATGATAAATGATACCGGTGGATGGAAAGGATCAACGGGAGTGATGGATGGGAGGAAAGGTTGGGGAGGAGACATCAGACAGATGTGATGAAGGAGTGGGTGATGTGGAGCAAGAGGTGAGATGCGGTGAGGGAGAGGAGGACGCGCAGGTTGAGAGGGGAGTGGGAGGGGCCCCGTGGAGAGGAGTTTGGGATGGGTCGGTGGGGCGGGGGGGGGGGGGCGCGGGGGGGGGAGGGAATGGAGGGAGACAGGGGAAAGGGATGTGGGTGGGGGGAGGAGAGGAGAGAGAGATTGAAGTTGGGAATTTGAATTTGTAGACCAGGCAGGTGTGAAGAGAGAGAGCTGACTTTTGGGGACGGATGCTTAGCAGCATCCACAGCACACGGGGAGCATTCATGTTCCCCCACGATGCTGTGGCAGCTTCAGGTGCCTCCAGGCATTGCCAGTGGCCACTGGGGCACCATGGTCCCCATCAAGAACGGCTGGCTTAGATCCCTATGGTCCTCAGTCCCTCTAAACACTGTTTCTTTCCCTTATGTAGATCTAATAATCAAGGGACTTGAAGCCTGTGTGTCTGCCTGTGTGTGTGCGTGCGCTCTCTGTCTGTCTGTCTGTCTGTCTGTCTGTCTCTCTCTCTCACACACACACACACACACACACACTTCCAATGAGGACACCAAAGTTCCAGCACTTGCCCGAGCCCCGCAGTTCCCACGCGATGGAGCAGGGCTTCAAACAGAGAGCACAGATGACTGAATCCCACACAGAGCAATGGTTCACCTGCACACAGACAGTTGACAGCAGTGCCACACGTGCACACAGCGGTGTGGGTCCCTTCAGTCACCGAGGGCTGCCACCTATGGTAGGGCAGGCTGTGCCCCGCACAAGGGCATCTGGCTAGAATCAAAGAGGGGCTGCCCTCCCCACGGTGGGCCGGTTGGGCGGCAGCCATCTGCCGGCAGGGGCACCGTTTCCTGACTCGCACAAGGGCGCCACCTGCCGGCCAAACCATGGACTCCGGAGAGCCGTATGGGCCAGCAGTGTGGCTGCTCAGTCCCCATTCTGTGCCAAACCTCCCCTCTGCTGACAGAGTCCCACCGTCCCTCCAACGGCACACGTCAAGGGGGACACAGCTCCAGGCCATCGATAACTGGGGGGCGGGGAGCAGTGACAGACGTTCGTCAAACCCAGCAACGCACGCAGATGCAAACGCACACGCACGGCCCCTCTAGCCATGGAGGGACCCACAGTGTCCTGCTCCTGCCTCGTACCTCCCAATGCAATGCAGGGAAGCGCCTACTGGTGGGAAGGGGACACACATCTACGGACAGAGAGGCCTGTCCAGACACAAGGATATAGGCGGATAAGTTCGTCCCTTAGCTCACACAAAACTATGCGCAGACACACAGCGGAACTTATACACATGACGCACAAAACAGGACATCCGTACAGTGTCCCAGGCACAACATTCAAGGACAGCCAGTGTCATCCTGATGGTCCCCTTGGAGCCTCCTCTGAACACACATACACAGCTTTGCATGGACACAGCCATGTGTGTCTGTGTGTTTCAGTCCACAGCACACAAGACCCAGGCATGATCTCAGACATTGTGACATGCTGGGATCACACACAGCTCAGGAACACGGGCCAGGACCTGCCCAAGCCAGCTGCACATGGACACACAACCGCACACATCACAGCCCCCAGCCATGCAAACTTGCAGGTGCACACGCACGTGCAAACACACTCTCACCCAGCATGTGACACCCCCCCCACAGAGCCCCACCCCCGCTTGCTCACAAGGAGACACTTTCCTCCTCCCCAGGTGGAGAGGAAGGGGCCCCTGAGCCCCAATCTCCTCACTGCTTGCACCTTGCGTTCCCAGCAACTCAGGGCCAGGGGTCCAGTTGTGCCCCCAACCCCCTCAGCCCTGAGAGAACCTAAGAGACACAGATGGATGGACAGAGATCCGGGGAGCCTGCTGGAGGAGGGGGTCCCCCCGAAGACCCCCCTCGGTCCTCCTGCTCTTGAGAGCTCCCTCCCCCATCTGCCACCCTGCTCAGCACTTGGCCACAATCTCTGGTGGCCCCTACTCCCTCCTGCCCCTGCCAGCTGGGATTGGGAGCCAGGGCTGGGCGGGCCGGGTGGGGCCAGGTGTGTGGACTCCTGAGGAGCCTGGAGGCAGCAGAGACGAGGAGGAAGGGAGCAGGACCTGGGGAGGCCCGGAGAGGGAGGCTTGGGAAGGGGCAGGGGCCCAGGGAGGGGGGCAGAGACCCACAAAGGGGTAGAGACCCAGAAGGAGCATCAGAAAGCCCTGGTCCCACAGAGCTGTGGGCCGGAGGGGGGTCCGCAGGTGGCTGCGGAGGGGGACCAAGGGTCACGTGGCGGGTGGGCAGGGGCGGACCCCACCGGTCTGAATGCAAAGGGAAGGGCACCCCTAAAGACAGGGGGGCGGGGGGGCAATGAGGGCCGTTTTGGGGAGGCAGGGAAGCGGAAAGCAGAGAAGAGGTGGGGATCTCGGTTCAAGAGGAGGCGGGTCAGCAGGTGGGGAAAGGGGAGAGACAAACAAGGGGTCCGGGTGGGGAGCCGCGGGTTGGAGGATCCAGTTTGCCCCTCCCACCCCACCCCCACCTTCCCTGGCCGCGGGGACAGACGTGAACTCTCCCCAGAGGCACTCCGGCTGAGGCAGCTCAGACCGCGACCCTGCAGGCTGCCGTCTGCTGCGCCGCGGCCCCTAGGTCCCTAGGCCTTCTCACTGGTGTCTCCCTGTCCATCCCTCCTCCCGTGGCAGGTCTCAGTCTCTGACAGGATGTGTTCCGGGGTTGGTCTCTCTTTGCCGGTGTCGGGTACGCATCTCCTCGCGTCTCTGCGTCTCTGAGTCTCTGTCCCGCGTCTCTGCCTCTCACCTCGCTGTCCCCTTCTCCGAGTCTCAGTTTTCCATGTGCCAACATTTCCCCTCTTCCTTCTGCTCCCCATCCATCTCCTTCCCTCTCTCTAGCTTGTCTCTGTGTCTCCCGGTGTGCACAGCTCCATCTCTGTACCTCTCTGACTCCGGGTCTCTGTCTCTGCCTCCCGCCCGGGTCTGCTGTCTACAGATCCCTGTACCTCTGGGTGTCTCTGCTCTGACCCCCTCTCCGGACCCCCGGTCTCCTCCCTGGTCCCCCTACTCTCTCTCGCTCGCTCCATTTGGAGGGGCGGGGAGAGGAGGGGCGCTGCAGCGCGAGCTGAGTGTTCCCAGTGCAAAATAGACTCCTGTTGCCATGGCGACGCGAGCCGCGGCCTCCGAGACGCGAGGCTTCAGGCTGGGGGGTGAGGATGGGGGACACCTGGATCCGGAAGGCGGGGGCCGGGGGTGCTGACGCCTGGTCCTAGGGGCTCCTGGAAGAGGGAGGCTGGGACTCTTAGGTTCCTGGGGAGAGGGGGTACTGGGTGCTCTGATGCCTGGGTCCGAGCTTTCTGGGAGGAGTCTGGGGTCCAGGGCTGGGGGTCTCTGATTCCCCAGTGGGGGTGGCTGGCTGTAAGATCTGGCGCCTGGGTTCTCGGGGGACTCAGAGGTTGCCTTCTTAGGTCCTCAAGGTTGGAGGTGGGGTGGGGAGCAAGGACTTTGAATCTCAGGGGGCTAAGGGACCTTGACGGGGTGCGGGGGTCCGTAGAGTCCCGACTCCCAGGTTTCCAGGGGAACTGCAAAATTCTGGGAGCCCCCATGTGGATCCCCTGACTCGTGCGTCTCAGAAGCGCAGGGACCCCTCAGGAGAAGCTGCCTGTCGTCCTTCCCATCTGTTCATCCATTCATCCGTCTGCCTGTCTCTTCCGTCCTCCCGTGCCCATGTCCCCCGTGCCTCAGTTTCCCCCTTCACACCGAGTCCGGCCTCGCTCACCTCACTTTCCGGATGAGGGACCCTTGGGGCTTCTGGGGTGGCAGCAGAGTCGGGGGCCGGGCGGGGGAGGCCGAGCGAGCGCGTGTCTGCGGCCGGCTGGGCTGGGCGTGCGCGCGCTGGTGGGGGGCGGCCGGCAGCGTGCTGGGCGACCCTGCCGTCAGTTCTTTGCAGCGCAGATGTGATAGGGCCAGCCCTCGCCTTTGCCTCGCGCCGGCTGGGAGGCCCCTCCCCCTCCCCACCTGCTGGGGACCCCGCTCCCCCCCACCCACCCACAGCCCCAAGTCGCCCCCGGGGCACCCCCCAAATCCAAGAATGGTTTGGTCCACAGCTACATCAATGTTTATTCCGCGAGTCCGGGTCCCACACAGCCTGTGACACTCCCTCCCCCTCTTCCCACCGGCGTGAAGTGGCCCGGGGCCGAGCCCCGCCTCCTGCCCAGCCCAACCAACGGTCATCCAGCTTCCAGGAGTTACATTTGCATTTCCGGGAACTGTCACCCAATGGCAAGGCAGTCCCCGCCTCCCCTCCCTGAGGGGGCGGTACTCCCGGTTGGATTGCACCACTCTTGGGATCCACGGATGGGGGGCGGAGCGCTTCCACGGAGGCCTCAGAGCCAAGAGGGACGGAGGTCTCCCCTCAATGAGGAGTAGGAGTTCAGGGGTAGAGGAGATTCTGGCCTTGGAAGAAGCCGAGCAGCCCGGTGTCAGGGACGGGCTCCTTGATGATCTTTTGGATCTGTAGAGGGAAGAGAGGGGTCAGGCACGGTTCAGGGTCCCGTCTCCAGGGCACATTTGAGGGATATTTCTCCCTCTTCATCTCCCTTTCCCTCTTGACAGCAAATGGCCAAACCAACTCCCTCTTCCTGGAACTTCTCCTGGGGGCTCCCTTTCAGCACACCCACGTGAGTTAGCTTCTCATCACCTTCCATCTTGGTCTGCTCTGCTGGCTTGGGCTACTAAGAGGGATGGGCTCTGTCCTGGGGCTTCTTCTCTGCACCTGCTTTGCAAGTCATCTCAACTCTCCCATCCCCCAGCTCCCAATTCCATGCCTTGCCCCTCAGCTCCAGACTCATTTATCCAACGGCCTCTGAGAGGTTGCTCTCCGTGTGACCTCTCAATCTCGTAGTTCAGCCCACCTGTAGACGATACCCTGGAGCCGCCCTCCGGGGGCCTTCTCCCGAAGCCCCACACTGTGCCCATGGGGACCCCATGACTGCCTCCCGAAAGTAAACAAAAATAAGAAAAACCTGCATCCCCACTGCATGCCCTCTGGTGCCCCTCATTCCTGACACCTGCCTAACCGCAGACCCGACCAGAGCCAACGCCCTGCACTGGCCCCCCGCGGCTGCCCCTGGCTAAAACCCCAAATCTCTGGGAAGACACGGCCTGCCTCCTCCCTGCCTCCGCCCCTCCCCACTCACCCTGTGCCCCGGGGGCCCTGTTACGGTTGCTGGATTGAGGCAAGTTGTTGCACCACCAGGCCTCTGCCCCAGCTGGTCACTCTGCCAGGAACACTTTTCTGGATGGCTGGCTGTTCCTCCCCCCACCCCCGCCCCGGGGAGGGCCTTCCCTCTTGCCTATTAGCTTATTTCTCGCACACACTGCTCATTCCCTTCCCAGCTGCGGGCCACAGTGTGTAACGGGATACTGATTGGCTTTGCCGTGGCCCCAGGACTCGCCACAGTGGCTGGTACACCGCAGGTGCTCAATAAGTGCTCGACTGAACCAAGAGGAGAGGGAAGGGCGGAGCGCAGGCAGCCAGGAATATCAAATTTGGGCATGTCCTGTGACCTGGCAGGCCAAGGGTGTGCAGCAGTGGGCACCACCCCGTCAGACCTGGGTGCTAGGAAGCCACTGGGCGACAGGCTTGGAGGCGAGGCCTGAGCGCCAGAGGCCGCAGAGGGAGACGGAGGGTCGAGAGGCCCCACCTATGGGGCCTCTGCTGGCCTGTTCTTTCCCGTGTCTGCCTGGCTCCCTTCAGGCCTCACTTTGCTCCAGAGTCACCTTCTTCCAGGAGGCCTCCCCGCCCGCCGCTCTATCTGTCTCTCCCCAGTCCCTCCCTGCCTGCCATCAGCTCCTCCTGTCATTGATTTATGGTTGACAGGCTGTCTCCCCGTAAGGATTTAGGCCCCCCTGGAGGAAGCAGCCTTCTGTGTTCCCGGATGTATTCTGCAAGGCCGTCGTGGGTGCTGAGAAGACATTTGCCAGGGAGGAGCATGAGAGGTGGGTGGTTGGGGGCCAGTACCTCCTTGAAGCAGGGGTGTGTGGAATCACCCACAAGCTGCAGAATGAGCCCTTCGCTGGTGGACAGGAAGGCGCCGCTCTGTCGCATCCGGGCTAGTGCCACCAGGCGGTCCACCTGGCTGCAGAGGGAGGGAGGCGTCGGTGCTGTGGCCCTAACGCCCAGAGCCCTGGTTCTTCCTGGGAGTCCCGTCCACATCACACGTACCCGCTCCTTGGGGGACCCTCTCACCTGCGGGAGGAGCAGGCGTCCGCCACCACGTGGACTTGCAGCCCCATGTCCAGGAGGTCCAGGGCCGTGTTCTAGGGGCAGAGAGAGGTCGGGGCCGACCCCCGACAAGGACAGGGGACCCGAGTGAGGAACTTAGATGCTGCGAGGGGGTCAAGGGAGCTCAGAGCAGGGCAGAAAGCCCCCGGGTTGCAACAGGATCTTAGGGCAGGACAAGCACCTCAGGTAGAGAAGGGTCCTGAGTGAGGAGCAAGTCTCACGTCTGGAGGGGGTCATGGGTCAGGAAGGGTGTCGTGCTGGGAGGACAGAGGGTTCTGAGTCAGGAAAGGATGTCCTTTTTAGGATGGGGAGATCCCAGGTGAGAGTGGGGGTCCCCAGGGGTCAGCGGGGGCGGGGGGGTCTTACCAAGATGCAGGCCTGGGTCTCGAGTCCACAAAGGAGCACAGAGCGCAGCTGAGGCTGTGCCTCCAGCTCGTGCCGCACCGCGGGCACCATGCTGAAGGAGGTCTTGGCCAGTGGCCGCAGGCCCTGGGCCCCCAGCTCAGGCACCGTGGGGCCCAGGCCTTGTGGGTACTGCTCTGTCAGCACGGCTGGCATCTCCAGCAGCCGGGCCACCTGTGCCGGGGACGGGGAAGAAAGGCCTGAGCCCGAGAGCGGGGTCCCCTCCCCGTCCGAGGGAGGAGAGGGCTAGACCCCCGGTCGAGAGTGGAGGGTGCTAAGCCCCTGGCCTGAGGGAGGAGGGACCTGTACCTTGAGCATGCGGGCAGCCACAGAGATGACCTGGGAGAAGTAAACGATGCGGTGGCGGAAACTCTCCTGCATGTCGCACAGGAAAAGGATGGATGACCCGGGGAGGATGCGGCCCAGGCCATACTTCGCAGCCGCCATGTCCTGGGGGCGGGCAGAGGGGTGGAGGGGCGGAGTCAGGGCGTGTGTGTGGTTTCTCTGCAGGTCCGGGGTCCACGCCCTTAGACCCAGGAGAGCCCTCCGCACCCCTTCTTCCCAGCTGCAGGCTTTGCACCTGCTGTTCCCCCGGTCTGGAACGCACTTCTTCCTAACGTGTCCTATTCAGCCAGAAGGTCACGTTTCCAGTAAGTCTCCTCTGACCCCGTCCATCCCCAAGACCCCAGCCTTGCTGCCCTGGAGCCCTGGGAAGCCTTCCCCTTTCTGTAAGGGCATGCAGATTTCTGCCATCTCTGTTACCGACTGTCCCATCACATCCCAGGCTCCAACTGTGACCCTCACCCCATCCCCAAGGGGACACGGAGCCCTGAGCAGCGATGTGACCCGCCCAAGGGCCAGCTGCCAGTCACACAGGGAGCGGGATGTGATTTCTGAGGAAACAAGAGCCGAGCTCTCCTGGGCTGCGCCTCCTCCCTCCGCAGGCCCTGACCGGCAGAGCGGCCATGCTCCGGGAGCCTTCCGCTCAGCTCGCCCTCTTGGCATCCGAAACTCAGTTCAGCCCCGTGTGAGCAGCCAGCTGCACTCCCTTCCAGGTCTTAGGAGGAAAGGCTGGAGACAGTGCGGCGGAGCAGCCTTTAGCCGCAGAAAGGACGCAGGCACTGACACCCGCTACGTCGTGGGTGGGCCTTAACGCAAGCTCGGGGAGAGGCCTGTCACTAAAGGCCACCCGACGTAGGAGTCCATGCGTTCAACACGCCACAGCGGTCAAGTCCATAGAGACAGCGGACACCCTGGTGGCTGGGGGAGCTGGGGCGGGCAGCGGGATTGAGCAGGGACTGCCTCACGGGTAGAAGGCCTTTGGGGACATGAAAACGTTCTGGATTAGACAGCATGATGGTTGCATGTCAGGAAGGTAACCAAATGCCAGTTAAACGTACACTTTAAAAGAGCAAATTCAATGTTATGTGTATTTTACCGTAATTAGAAAGAGTAAGGGCGGGGCTGGTGGAGTTGCCCCCCCCCAACAGCCCTCCCACAGGGAGGCGCTGAGAGGCAGAGGGTGACTTGCCCAGGGTCCCGCAGGGACGGGAGGCCTGCCCGCCTCCCCGCGAGAGCGTCTGGGGTCCTGGGCTCCTCCAGTCTTGGCATGTTCCAGCTGCGTCCCTGTGCCCCTGGGTCCCTGAGTTGGCTCTCAGATAGCGTTCCAGCCGAGATTCTGTTTGCAGCTCCCTACCTTTATGTGGCTCGCCCATTTATTCCTTCATTTACTTGGACCCAGGGGACCCAGGGGACCCAGGGGAGGGCAGGTCCACTGGGCTAACCTGGCTGGCCCTCCGGGGGAGGGGTTAAGCGGGGTGCTGTGTACACGCAGGTGTTTACACTTATTCTTTCAAACCAGCATGTCTACCACAGAAAATGTTCCATGTGAGTGACACCTGGAATTTAAGAACCGGTGGCTAGTTGAAATGACGAACTTTATGCCATGTGAATTTTATCTCAATAAAATATAATGGAAGCAAAACCACACCAGGTTCATTAATCGCATAATTACGACCATGCTGTGCACTGGGGCTTCTAGGGAAACTGATCTGTCTAGGCAGGGTCGGGGGATTCTCCAGGAGGACGTGAACAGAGAGAGGAAACAGTCTTTCTGAAAAGACAAAGCTGACCCCTTACTCCCCTGTCTCCCGCCTCCCCAACGCTGGGGACGCTGGGGGCCCTGGGGACCCTGCAGCCGCTGCCCAGCCGTGGCCCACCTCGGCGCCTTTGCACAAGCAGCTCCCTCCACCCGGAGTGAAGTGAAGCACCCGAGGTTGGGGTGCTGGTTATGCAAGTCATGGTATATCCATGCCATGGGATTCTTTGCAGCCAGGAGAAACGACAAGGAAACGCTTTCAAGAGCAATATGGAAAGGTGTTCAAAAGATGTTACCGGTGCAGGGAGGGGAAAGCACAGAACACTGTGTATAGCGGTGCTCCCATGTGCACCCCCCAAAAAGGAGGAAACACAGTCTGTGCACAGCAGCCATCTCTGTTTACTCTCGCTGGCCGGCATGAGAGCAGCGGGGACCTGAGGCGAGGAACGTCACTGAGGACAGCCTTGGAGGATCTGATTGTCACTGTGTAATGTTCTGTCTTTGTTGAATGTTCAGTGCATAACAGGCTGTGTATACAGGTTGTCATCAGGAATAAATACGTAAAGATGGAACCCGGAAAAACCTGTCTAGCATTAAAATGATGATCATGGTTATCCTTGACGGGGGTCAGGGACAAGGAGGTATGGTGGCTTCTGCGGTGCGGGGAGTGTTTGACTCCTGGGTCTGGATGATGTCTCCGGCAGAGCGTTCACTTTGTGAAGAGTTATTTTGACCTGTGTATCTGCGATTTGTGCCCTTTTCTGCATATATGGTATACGTCCATTAAAAGCCGTCAAAATGTAAAATAGAACGGGGAGGCCGCACTGGCTGTGAGGCTGGACTGGAGGCCGAGGCGGGGGTCGGGGTGGAGGGTGTGCTAGGGTGGGGGCAAGCTGGGGATGGAGTCCAGGGGGCAACGGTGAGTCCTGGGCTCCCGTTCAGGCAGCAGCACGGGGAGGAGGAGGCAGGACCAAGAGATTCAGGGGGCGGGTGGGACTGGCCGTGGGGGAAGGAAACGAAGAAGACCCCGCAGGTTTTGGGGCGGCAGGAATTAACTGGGGACCTTGGCAGGGAAATTGGTTTTTGGGAGAAGAGAAATTGGGCAAAGGGGAGTGTGTGCCTGTGGGGAGGGGGCCTGCGCTGGAGACAGACGTGGGGGTGCCGTGGGGGAGCGCCGGGAGGGGCCGGGCCGGACCTGCGGCTCGGGGGAGGCCCAGGCCGAGGAGGAGGTGCGGAGGGAGGCCTTGAGAAGTGAGCCGTTTGCATGCATGAGTCTGGCGACATGAAGGGGAACATAGACACACGTTCACCCTGGCATGACCGGCAAGCTGGCAGGCAGAGTGTCTTGGAAGACACGCCGCCAACAAGTGAAGTATCTTGCGTGTTCCTTGGAGTGCACTATAGGCAAGGAACGGCCTTGGTTATAGAAACACTTGAGCCCTAAATAGCTGGGAGTGCACGTGACTGATAACATTTGTTTTTTGCTTTGAGTGTGTTCCTATCCACCCTCGTTCTTTTTCCTGTTTAATAACTATGATGAGATAACCCTGCTCGGGGCTCTTCGGCCTTGAGCTGCTGAGTCCCCTGCTCCTCATCATCCAGATCAGCGATTGGTCCTTGTTCGTCTCCGTTCTGACTACCACAGGGAGGGGCGGCCCAAAGTGGGCACAAACCGAGGCGGGCGGGTGGCGATGCTTAGATCCCCCCATGGCTTCGGGGGCGGGGGGGTGGGCTCAGCCCTGCAGACCGGACTTCCGAGCTGTATAACTTCGGACAACTGTCGTGCTGTCTGAGCCTCAGTTTCCCCCTCGGAGTCACGGGGGTCAAACTCACCTACCCTGCAGGGAAGAGGAGAAACCTGGCGCAGAACACAGGGACGGGGACGGCACGCGGAGGCCCCTGGCCAGCCAGCTCTGTGGGCCCGGCGGGAGTCCCGCCCTTGGCTGTGTGACACAGGCTCGGGACGTCCCGCCAGCCTTCAGCTCCCCCACCGACGGAGTGGCAAAGTCGGTGTCCCCCAGTGCCGGGGCGGGCCTTCCCCGGAAGGCGCAGGGTTCGAGCGCGGCTCACCGCTTCCGCAGGTGAGTCCTGGAGTCACTCACCTCTCAGAGCCCGGGCTTGCGCCGCTCACGTCCTCTTACCCGGTTCCCGGCCCGCGGCCACTCTTAGGGTCGCGGCAGGCGGCTTAACCCCGGCGCGGTCGCGGGCCGCTGACTTTAGCGGAGCCACCCAATCGGCGCTCACCCAGCTCGGCCCGGCCCCCGCTCCCAGCCAATCCGCAAGTGCCGCTGCTCCGCCCTGGGCGGGAAAGCGGCGCTTCAGACCAATGAGTAGCGGCAGAAGGTGTGAGTGGCGGGCCCGGCGGAGAGGCGCGGTGGACGCGGAGAACGCGGAGACCGCGCACTCCAGCTGGGGAGGTGGTTGGCGGTCGGCGGCACCCTTCGGACCCGACCGCTGAGGCCGGGACAGACCGGGAGGGCCCGGGGTTCCCACCCTGGCCCGTTTGGCTGGGCCGAAACTTACAGCGACCCAAGAAGCACTTTGCAGTAAAGGTTCAGGGCGCGATGAAGCCTGGAGCTTAAGTCTCCGCATCCCCGTCTCTGCAGCCTCAGTTTCCCCAGCTGTACAGCACCTGCCTCCTAGGGTGGTGTTCACAGTATGTAGACATTGTACTTGGAAATGGGGCTGAGAGAGAGGGAGAGAACTTCCCGTCATCGTTGGAATAAAATCCAAAGTCCTCCCCAGTTCACCGCCTGCTTTTCACCACCTGAGTCAACCTCTCAGATCTCACCTGTCGCCTCGCCCCACTCCGGCCGCGCTGGCCTCCACTGCAGCTCCCCAGCGGCCCGCTCCAGGGCCTTTGTATATGGGGTTCCCTCTGCCTGGAGCCCCAGACCTTCACATGGCTTCGTTTTTTTGTCTTTCAAGGCCTTCCCTGAACACCCAGTGTTAAATGGCAATGGCCACTTGGTAAGGTCACGGTTTTATCTTCCTCACAGCACCCGTTCGGATCTCAAATTGGAAATTTACCTTGTGCTTAAAAATGTATGGAAGTACTCATCTATTGTTAGTCCCCTGACCTGCCTCCCCGAAATGTGAGCTCCACAAAGGCAGGAATCATGTCTGTTTTATTCACTGCTGAATCCTCAACACATAGTAGGTGCTCAATGCATCTTGGAGGATCAATGAAACAAGGCCAGACATTCGGCAGCAATGGGCCACGCGAGAGCAGCTAGAGTGAGGGCTCTGAGGAGACGGGCCTGCCAAGAGTGAAGGGAGAACGTGGGGGAGTGGGAAAGCGAGGGGGCCTGCATGGAGGAGGCAGCGGTGAGGCTCTCGTCTCAGGTGGGAGTATGGGCTTGGGTCATTTTCGCAGAAGTTGCCAGGACAGGAGTGGAAGGGGACTCCTGGCAGAAGGCGGGGGTTAGAGAGCTGTCATGGGGGTGCCTCTGGTTTGTCCAGGCCTGAGCTGGGCTGGGATTGGGTGTCATGGGAAGCAGGTTCCCCAGCCCTCGGGGATCCCCTGAGAATGGTGGGCACAAGGCGTCTCCCTCCTGCCCCCCCAGCCCTCCTCAGGAGCCAGGAGCTCTTCCCCTTCCCCCAGGGCATGCAGCGTCAGGGGCAGAGGGCCACAGGGATGTTGGGTCTGCCTGAGGCCTGGCCGGCCTGCGGCATCATGGGGCAGGTCATACAGCCCTGAGGGAGGTTCTGGGGTGAGCGCGATGTCATCAAAGAGGTCCAGGGGGGAGGCGTCCAGTGCAGCGAGGCTCAGGCTGGGGCCTGCATGGGCTGCCTCGGCGGGGGCCACAGCATGGGCCACCCCCAGGAAGGGGGATGGAGGTGGCTGGGCTGGTCTTGGGGGCGAAGGTCTCTGGGGAGGAGCCTCCTGGGACAGGATGGACAGGGCCAGGCGCTGGGTGGCGGCCTCGATCTTGGCAAACTGCCTGTGGAGAGATGGGCATCAGCTGGGCGACCGCGAGGGAGTCTCCTCCTGTCTTTCATCTGAGAAGCGGTCTGTTTCCTCACGCCCTCCTCCGTTTCCTTTTCGATGCTAGGTCCCCTGCCCCGTTCCCATTTTCTTGAGCCTGACCATTCTATTTGTGCACTGTGTACATTTTTGACATTTAGATTTGTTATGACCACGTTCCAACATATGAAGCAAAAAAAAAAAAAAGTCTTAAGGAAAGGGTGCCTTTACAAAGTAATTTCAGCCCGGACTGGGGTGGCTCAGTGGGTTGGGCATCATCCTGCTAACCAAAAGGTCACAGGTTCGATTCCTGGTCAGGGCACAGCCGTGGGTTGTGGGCCAAATTCCTGGTTGGAGGTGTGCGAGAGGCAACTGATGTTTCTCTCTCTCTCCCTCCTTTCTCCTCTCTCTGAAAATAAATAAATAAAAAAATTTTTAAAAAGGAATTTCATGCAAATGTGCACGAAAAAGTGCTCTGGGCTAGCAGTGCGTCTGTAACAGTAGTGCCTATGGGTTCCGCTTCCTCTTAGCTCTTGAATCTGCTCACCTGTGAGCATCTCCATCCACCCCCAGCCGGAGTCTCCGGCTCCTCCCCCCTGGATGGCTGCGCTGGTCTCCCCTCAGTAACAACACTGATGGGTCTCACCAGTCGTGATGGGCTGAATCGTGACCCTCCTGAGATTTACACATTGACGCCCTAACCCCCAGTACTTCAGAATGTGGTTGCATTTGGACATAGGGTTTTCAAAGACGCGATTAAGTTAAGATGATGTTATTAGGGTGGTTCCTAACCTGATAGCACTGGCGTTAGGACACACAGGGAGAACCGTGTGTGGACACAGGGACAAGTCAGCCGTCTACCCCTGCCCACCCCTTGATCCCAGGCCTCCAGAATGGCGCGAAAGCAAGTCTCCGTTGTTCAAGCCGCCCGGTCTGTGGTGTTCACAGAAGTTCTGGCAAAGTAACGTCCGAGCATAATGTGAGCAAAAGTGGCGAGACTCACAGTTAGTAGCCACGTGGCCCTACTGATCGCAAGTTCAGAAGCTGGTTAAGCCGCTGGACGGTGTGGGCAGTCGGAGGGCGGCTGGTGGGAAGGAGCTGCAATGGGCCCAGGGGCAGGGAACGCTCTGTCCCTGGGTCCGAGGGTTGGTCACATTAATGAAAACATACCTGATACTGTATAACTCTGTTTATAGGAAATGTCCAGAATAGGCAAATTCCTGGAGACAGAGAGCAAATTAATGTTTGCCAGGTGCTGGGGGAGGGGAATGGGAAAGGTCTGATAATGAGAGCAGCAGCTCCCCTGGGGGTCATAAGAATGTTCTGGAACTGGATGGAGGTGATGGTCGCAAAACATTGTGAATGGACACAACGCCACCGAATCGTTCCCTCGGAACGGTTAAAGTGGAGAATGTTATGTTTTGCGTGTTTTACCACGAGAAAAAGAAATATGTATACCTGGCTCGTAAGTAAATTAGCGAGAGCTGCAACTCTGACATGGTCTTTGGTGCCAAGGAGGGGAGTTACGCGCTCTGGGTGCCCCGAGGAAAACGGGGAGAAATGGGAGCTCGCGTTAAGTGAGAAAGACAGGGAGAGAGAGAGAACGAGAAAGGCAGAGCTGGAGCTCGGGCTAGAGCCAGAGATGGAGGGTGAGAACGAGAGGGAAGGTTCGCAACCTTCTACGCTCTACAGGGCCCCCGACTTCAACAAACTGAGCGTAGTGACATTAGGGCGGATGAGTCATGACGTTTGCAATTCGCTCTACACTATTTTTAAAACACAGATGAAGGAAGAATGCTAAGGCATGAGGGACATCAGAGGCTAAGTGATGGTACGGAGTGGGCATCAGGTTTGGGGTTCTCAGCAGGACACCTGGAGGGCTGGTGAGAGGGCTGGTGAGAACGCAGGGTCCCAGACCCCCAAGTATCTGCTTCTGCAGGCCTGGGGGTCTAAAGGTTTTATTTATTTACTTTTAGAGAGGGGAAGAGAGGGAGAAAGAGAGGGAGAGGAACATCAATGTGTGGTTGCATTTTGCACACCCCCTGCTGGGGACCTGGCCCGCAACCCAGGCGTGCGCCCTACACTGGGAATCAAACCGACGGCCCTTTGGTTCACAGGCCGGCGCTCGATCCACTGAGCCACACCAGCCAGGGCTGAGAGTCTGCATTTCTACCACGATCCGATCCGAGGAGATGCCGAGACGTCATGCTGCTGGTCTGGGACCACCCTTGAGAACCACTGCAGCAGACAACTGCCTTGACTTTTCTGTAGTTTTGAAATGCTTCACAAGAAAGTGTCAAAAATCCATACGCAGGGGTGGGAGGGGTCTCCAGCGGGAGCCAGCCCCAGGGGAACCTGGAGGGAAGACGAGGCCGTGGCTGGGAGGCGCTGAGGAGAACTTGCTTCACAACCTGGATTTCTGACCAGGCTCAGCTGGACGCCGAGGGGACTGGGCGCCACGCTGCCCCCAAGGCTGCCGGTGGGTGGGCTGGATCCCCGGGGAGAGCCAGGCTCAGGAGGCGGGGATGGCTGGGGTGGTGCGGCAGAGAAGTGAGCCCAGGGAGCACGGGGCGTGAGTGGGCGGGAGACCGGGAACCTGGGCGGGGCGGGGGCGGGGGCGGGGCCGAACGGGCTGGGGTAGGGAGCCCTGATGGGCGCCAAGGATGGCAGAGGCCCTGGAGCAGCTGCTGAGGAGGCCGAAGAGGAGTTAGAAGGCCCCCTTTGGGGAGACACGTGCTTTCCTCTTCCGCGGTGGGTGTGAGCACTTCGGGTGTGGCCGGCGCTGGGCAGCCCGGTGGAAGCAGGTTGTCGTGCCGGGGCAAGGGTTAGACAGGACCAGGCTCCCCCATGTTCACAGCTGGTTCTTAGACCTCCCGGGGCGAGGCCCTGGGCTGGATGGGAGGACTACCTACTTGCAGAAAAGCAAGTCCTTGAGCGAGGCACTTTACCTCTCTGCGCCTCGCTTTTGTCAGTCAAAAATGAGGATTACTACCTGCTCCGTAGGGTTGCTGTGGGGGGTTAATGGTTCTTACCCCTTGTGAGCGACCATTACAACTGAATACCAAAGCGCTCAGAACGCTGCCCGACACACACTGTCAGATGAGTGATAGCCACTGTAACTGTCATTATGATCGCTGATATCCTCATCGTCACCACGGTCACCACCGTCACGTCCCTGAGGGGCTGTCCCCGGGCCGGACTGCAGGCCGGACTGCGGAGCCTGAACTGGGACTGCCTGGGGCTGCCCCGGGCAGGTGGCCAAACCTCTCAGCCTTCCTGTCTGGAGGGATAAACACAGAACCTGCCGAGCAGGTTCGCTGGGAACTTTAAGTAACACCTAGGCTGGGGCCTTAGCGCAGAGTACTTGGCCTGTAGCCAGGGCTCAGACCGGGGTTACTCCTGCAGGGGAGGGGAGACTCTGCGGGAATGGCCCTGCTCAGCAAAGGGAACAGCCGGGCAAAGGCCCCCAGACCGAATGACGGCAGCGGGGAGCCCTGGGAGGCCCTTGAGCAGGAGAGGGGTCAGACGGGGCATGGGAGTTAGAAAGGCCTATCGGGAGCAGCCAGTTTCTTGCTGCCTCCAGAAAGACCCACGGTCGGACCGTGCCTCCGCGCCCCAAGCCCCCACCCTGGTCAGAGCTGCCACTGCGCCTCGCTTGGTCTCTCCTTTCCGCCCCTGTCCCCGTACAGCCTGTCCTCCACCCAGCAGCCAGAGGGATCTTTCAGATCCCCCCACAGCTCTGCTCAGAGCCCGGGTCCCTCCGGGGACGCAGGAGGTCTCCAGCCCAGTCCCCGATTCTCCTGGACCCCAGTTCCCTTCTCCTTTTGCTTCCCTCGGCCACACGGGCCTTCTCCGGGATGTCCTGCATCAGGGCCTTTGCACCCGCTGGGCCCTGCCTGCGACGCCCTCCCCTCTGCCACCTGCGGGCCATGCCCCACGCCGCCCCCCCCCCCCCCGCCAGCCTCTGTGCCCGCATCACCTCAGCGCCGCCTCTCCCCTCCCCCCCACCTCACCGAAAATGCCAGCCCTCCCCGCACCCCTCCGCAGCACTTACCGCCCCCTGGCACACCATATAATTTTAAAAATCGAAGTAAAATTCACATGACTTAAAATGAGCCATTTTGAAGCACACAGTTTGGTGTGCAATTTCATATATTCACCGCCATGCAACCGCCGCCTCTGATCAGTTCGAGTTTCTCGTCACCCCGAAAGGAAAGCCACCCCCCACTAACAATCGCTCCCACCGCCTCCCCAGCCCCTGCCAACCGCGGACCTGCTGCCTGCGCCTGTGTGCTTGCCTTTCTGGGCCTTTCAGACACGGGAGCCGCCATCCGTGACCTTTTGTGTCTGTCTTCTTTCCCTCAGTATCATGTTGTCAAGGTTCATCCACATTGTCACACCCTGTGTATCATTTACTGCCCGGCTCCCCCACGGGACACGCGTCCAGGAAGGCGAGGAGTGTGCTCGGCTTTGTTCCCCGCTCGGTCTCCTGGGGGCCCGGCACACCGTCGGCGCTTAATACATGCATGCTGTGCGTTGATTGCATCCAGCCCTGGGGGCCACTTCTCTCAGTTCTGTCTGGGCCCCATCTCCCCCAGATCCAGGGCCCGTCACCGCTCCATCCCCTTCCGCCCCATTCCCCCCTCACCTGCAGATCTGGTTGTGAAGGAACCTCCTGTGGTTGGGCCTCCTTTTGGGGGGCCGGGTCCGCCGGGGGTGCAGAGTGCGTAGCACGTGGGCAGCTGCCCCGCTCACAAAAGCACACAGCTCGCGGGGGCTGGGCTCCGAGACCGCAGGGGCTGTGGGGGCCCCGGGGTGCATGGCCTGGGTGATCTGGGGGTGACCTTCCCCTCTATTCGTGCTGGTCAGAAAGCGCCCCCCGAAATCTGTGAGGAGGGGCAGCCAGGACTGGGGGCTCAGGGCTGCAGAGCAGAACAAGGAGGGATGGCCTTAGGGAGGAGCGGGTGACTTGGGACAGGAGGGGGCGCAGGGCCCCGGAAATTAGGACCCGGAGTCCTTCCTGTGCCCTCCTGGATCCTACATCCCAGGAGCTGGACTCTGGGGTTTGAGGGGCGATGCTAGGGTGGGGGGCTGATATAGGAAGGCACGGTAGGCAGGGGAGGGGGCTTTCTGTGTGCCCCCCCTCATGGGCCCAATTAGCACATAGTTGGCTCTGGGATATGGGGCAGGGTGGCGTGGGTGGGGAGTCAGAGAAAAGCGCCTGGAGATTGCCAATTAGGGTGACAAAGGCCTCGTCAGGGAGGGGGGGCCAGGAGCGGAGTCAACTGCTGCGGTTAGTGTCGAGGACCCTTAATTGGAGGAGGGGGGCCGAGGGGGGCTTGGGTGCAGGCTCGGAGGGAGGGGAGACAGCGCAGGAGCCTCTGCTGTGCAGCAGACACCCCTCAGCGGCCCACCCACCTCCGTGCACTGCGGTGCCCTCCTGCCTCCCTCGGCTGCAGGGCCAGCGTCCTGGGGACACTGAGGCTTGGGGAGGGGCTCACTGTGCTCAAGGCCTCCAGCCAGCTGGAGGAATTGGCTTCTGGGGGTTTGATCTGCAAACTCTGCATTTCCCACCCAAGTGCAGCCAGTGAGCAGGGGAGAAGGGAGGGGCACCTGCGGACCAGGCTGCTACTGGGGAAGGGGGGCGCGACGTCGGGGGCTGTTTGGGGTGCAGCCTGGCTGTGGCGGGAGGGGAGGAAAGAACAGGGGCACCGGTTCCCCCCCAGGCATTTTGCGGAGGGACTCTGGGGCCCCGAGCATTTGGGGAGGAGAAAATGAGTGCCTGGGGCTGGCAGGCTGGGGACCCGGCTGCTGGGGCTTGGAGGGGAGTGGGGTCCTCTCGTCTCTGGGCAGGGTGGCCTGGTGGGAAGGAGCGTGTCAGCGTGGCTCCAAGGGGACCGCGGCAGGAGGTGCATGTGTGTCCCATGGCTGTTGTAACGCAGGACCGCGAACTGAGTGGCTTAAAAGCATGCTCACTGCCCCAGCCGGTGTGGCTCGGTGGATCGAGTGCCGGCCTGTGAACCAGAGGGTTCCATTCCCTGCCAGGGCACAGGCCTGGGTTGCAGGCCTGGTCCCCAGCAGGGGGCGCTTGAGAGGCAACCACACACTGATGTTTCCCTCCCTCTCTTTCTCCTTCCACTCCGCTCTGTAAAAATAATAAGTAAAATCTTTTTAATTAATTTATTTTTTTAGCATGCTCATTAATTCTCTCGCAGTTCTGGAGGTCCAGGGTCCAAGGTGGCTCTTATGGGCTAAAGTCGAGGCGTTTCTTCTGGAGGCTCCAAGGGCAGAATCCATGCATGCCCTTGCGTCTTCCAGCTTCTAGAGGTGCCCCCATTTCTTGGCTTGTGGCCCTTCCTCTGCCTTCAAAGTGTGTCATCCCAACCTCTGCTTCTGTTGTCCCATGTCCTCCGGACTCGGAACCTCCTGCCTCCCTCTTAGGAGGATGACACCTGAGGCCCGCGGCAAACCAGCATCATCTCCTCCACTCAAGATCCTTAACTCAATATCATCTGCAGAGCCCGCTTTCCTTGTAAGGTAACAGAGTCACGTGTCCTGTGGGTTAGAGCCAGCGTCCTCGGGGGCTGTTTTTCAGCCACCACAGGAGGGCAGAGGGGGCCTCAGAGACAGCTCCTTCTGGGGTCCCCTCAAGTCTGTGTTCCCTGGGCCAGCGGTTGCAGCTGCTGAGGCTGGACCTGGGGCTACCCCGGCGCCCCCAGCATCTGCAGAGAGAGGCACAGAACAGTGAGGACGCTTCCCTGGGGCCCCCAGCGCCCAGGCAACTCGCTGGGGTCCCCATCCCCGGGACACAGACTGTCCCGTGTTCTGCAGGGGAAACCGATGTCAGCGCGGGAACCCGCGGTCACCCAAGGCCACAGCCGGCAAAGCAGCGATGTCACCCACGTGGGGAAAAAGAGGAGGGACATGAAGGATTTCTAAAAGCCCTTATAGTCATTAACTATTAAAGGGTGATATTTCTAAGTATCCTCACTAGAAATATCCTTTTCTTCTTCCGCAAACGATACCCTGATAAAATTAGCAGCAGCCCATTATGAAAGACTATGGGAGGAAACCGCCTCTGGCGGGGAAGAGAGAAGGAAACGAGAGCCTCCAGATGTGAATGCGCCGTCACCACACCACAACGTGGAATGTGATGAAATTTAAAAAGTTTATCCCGGCCCCACTACCTGGACACTCCGCCGTCCGAAGCAAGCAAGCCTCGCGGCCGCGGTGCCGAAGCTGGGATGCGAAGCTGGCGCGTGGGAAGCTGCGGCTCCGCGCCGGCGCGCGCTCACACAGCGAGGCGCTTGTGGCACAGGGCGGGCGCGAGTCCGGTCAGCCGAGGCCCCGGGACCGCGCCCTGGTGGGCCCGCAGCCGCGCGGTCAGGGCCAGCGCCCTGTTGGCAGCCCGGCGCCGCCAGCAGGCGGCCAGCGACGTCACCAGAAGTCCAGTTTGCGGTGAGGGAGGGTGTGCGAGCCGCGAAGTGCAGTGAGGTCAGCGGCTGTAGGTTGACCAGATGCCCAGGGTCACCGTCCGTTCCCCGGCCCCACCTGTGTGCCAGGTAACCTCGGAGGACGGGCAGCCGTGGGCACAGGCTGGGGCCTTGGTGTGTCATGCCGCGGGGTCAGAGGCCTCAGGGGCTTAGCCGGTCGAGGGTCTCCAGTGCCCTCACTCCCGGCCTTTGCTGGAGGGAGTGGACGCCCTGGTCTGCGGAGGGTTGGAGGTCAAGCCCTGAGGACAGGCCGGAGGTGGCCGCCATGTGGCTCCAGGGCGGGCTCGCATCCGCCGCAGGAGCCAAGGGCGGCCTCTGCGGGCGGCTCTGCGTCCCTGCCAGGCCAGGCCTGGAACCCACCCAGGGCCCCGGCCCTGCAGGCTCTGACCCGGGGCGCTCCACCAGGGGGCGCCAACACCCCGGGCTGGCGCCGCGCGGCACTTGAGGCCCTGCTCCGGTCGCCGGGATTGTTAAGAATCATCCACAGCTGCGCCCACCCTCATCTGGTGTTCGTGGCGGACCTGCCCCTGCGGGGAGTGGAAGGTGTTCATTGACAGTCTCCCTTCCCCTCTCCCAGTCCCTGCAACGGGCAGGGCATTTAGTCATTCAGCAAACATTTATGGAGCACCTACTGGGTGCGGAGATGGAGGGGTGCAGCTGTGAGTAAGACAAGTCCCATCCGTCCCCTCAGGAGGCCGCACAAGGAAATCCCAGCGGGGGATGTGCTGAGACTGCGCAGCAGGTTGGAGGCTGGAGGGGGGAGAGGTGCTGCTCCAAACGGAGAAGCCCCCTCCGAGGAGGTGACAATTGTCCTGCAACCTGAGTGGGAGACATGGCAGCCAGGAGCCCCCCAGGCAGAGGGCACAGTGGGTGCAAAGGCCTGGAGGCAGGAGCAGGCTTGACTGGAGTGCGAGAGAGAGCCATGGGACAAGGCGGGTCAGAGTGAAGAGGGGCCAGACCCACAGGGCTTCGTAGGCCAGGTAGGAGTTGGGTTAGGAGCGAAGGGGAGCCGTGGAGGGTGTGGGGCAGAGGTAGTGCCCAGACCTTACGGCCCTGCCCCCGGCCTCCTTTAGAGGCCTCACTGCACCTGGAATGGGAGACCCCCACCCTTACAGCCCCCTCCAGTCTGGGGAGCGGGAGCGGGGAGCTGAGGCGTCAGGACCCGTCAGCCACCCAGACGAGGCTCGTCCCTTCCTGCCTCCATCCTGCTCGTCTGCTGCTTCTCTCAGTCCTAGACTGACTCCGTTTTCCTTAAAATGTATGGTAAATATTTACAGATGGCAGCTTCCTGTTGTCCCCAACTCAGAACTCAGAGGGGCCAACCCAGCCATGTTTTTTCCATCCCGTTTCTTTCGAGACAGAACGGACTGTATTTTAGAGATAAGGTCTTTAAAGAGGTCGCTGAGGTAAGATGAGGATATTAGGGTGGGACCTGGCCCAGTGTGTGTGTCTGTGTCCTAACTTTAAGAAGAGAGTAGGACACAGACGCACACAGCGGGAGGGACGGCCGTGTGAGGACACAAAGACGCCGCCGCCCACATGCCAAGGAGAGAGGCTTCCGCGGGAAGCAACCCTGCTGCGCTGTGACCTGGGACTTCCAGCCTCCAGAAGTGAGAGGAAATACATTTCTGTCATGAAGGACCCCCAGGCTGTGGCGCTGGGTTCTGGCCGCCTGAGCAGACTCGCACAGGAAGTGTGCTAGTTATTCTGCGTAACAAACGGCCACACGTCCAATGGCTTCAAAAACAGACACCTTTTCTCACAGTTCCTGTGGGTCAGGGCCCCAGACCCCAAGGCCGAGCTGGGCCCTCCGTTCAGGGCCTCAGGGGTGTATCCAGCTGTCGGATGGGGCTGTGGCCTCCCCTGGAGCCAGGGCCCCCGCCCAAGGTCACGTGGCACAACTCACATCCGGGCACCTTGGAACCCATGGAGCCTGTGTCCTCAAGGCCAGCAGGAGAGTCGCTGAGGCTTCTCACCTCTGCCCTCTAGACCTAGCTTTAAGGAGCTCACCTGATTAGACCAGGCCCACCCGGGAAGTGTTCCTGTATCTGCCAGGGTTCTCCAGAGATACATCTACATAGACACAGATACATGTCTGTGTCTACGTTTATCCACTTCTAGAGAGAGAGGAGTTACATGCATTACTTTCCGTCTATAAAGAGATCTGTTGTAAAGAACTGGCTCATGTGATTATGGAGAAATCCTGTGAGGGGTCCCAAGACCCGGGACAGCCAGCGGTGTCCTTCCAAGGCCTGAGAACCACAGAACCCACGGTCTAGTTTCCGGTCCGGGTCTGAAAGCCTGGGCACCAAGGGCAGGAAAAGATCC